ACAATAACAACTACCCAATGTGCAGAACAATGTCAACTACTTTAACAACTACCCAATGTGCAGAACAATGTCAACTACTTTAACAACTACCCAATGTGCAGAACAATGTCAACTACTATAACAACTACCCCATGTGCAGAACAATGTCAACTACTTTAACAACTACCTCATGTGCAGAACAATGTCAACCACTATAACAACTACCCCATGTGCAGAACAATGTCAACTACTTTAACAACTACCTCATGTGCAGAACAATGTCAACCACAATAACAACTACCCCATGTGCAGAACAATGTCAACTACTTTAACAACTACCCCATGTGCAGAAAAATGTAAACCACAATAATAATTACCCCATGTGCAGAACAATGTCAACTACTATAACAACTACCCAATGTGCAGAACAATGTCAACCACTATACCAACTACCCCATGTGCAGAACAATGTCAACCACTATAACAACTACCCCATGTGCAGAACAATGTCAACCACTATAACAACTACCCAATGTGCAGAACAATGTCAACTACTATAACAACTACCCCATGTGCAGAAAAATGTAAACCACTATAACAACTACCCCATGTGCAGAACAATGTAAACCACTACAACAACTACCCCATGTGCAGAACAATGTAAACCACTACAACAACTACCCCGTGTGCAGAACAATGTCAACTACTATAACAACTACCCAATGTGCAGAACAATGTGAACTACTTTAACAACTACCCCATGTGCAGAACAATGTCAACCACTATAACAACTACCCCATGTGCAGAACAATGTCAACTACTATAACAACTACCCCATGTGCTGAACAATGTCAACTACTTTAACAACTACCCCCTGTGAAGAACAATGTCAACTACTTTAACAACTACCCCGTGTGCAGAACAATGTCAACCACAATAACAACTACCCCATGTGCAGAACAATGTCAACTACTTTAACAACTACCCCATGTGCAGAACAATGTCAACCACAATAACAACTACCCCATGTGCAGAACAATGTCAACTACTATAACAACTACCCCATGTGCTGAACAATGTCAACTACTTTAACAACTACCCCCTGTGAAGAACAATGTCAACCACAATAACAACTACCCCATGTGCAGAACAATGTCAACCACAATAACAACTACACCATGTGCAGAACAATGTCAACCTCTACAACAACTACCCCATGTGCAGAACAATGTCAACTACTATAACAACTACCCCATGTGCAGAACAATGTCAGCTACTTTAACAACTACCCCATGTGCAGAACAATGTCAACCACTATACCAACTACCCCATGTACAGAACAATGTCAACCACTATAACAACTACCCCATGTGCAGAACAATGTCAACCACTATAACAACTACCCCATGTGCAGAACAATGTCAACCACTATAACAACTACCCCATGTGCAGAACAATGTCAACCACTATAACAACTACCCCATGTGCAGAACAATGTCAACCACTATAACAACTACCCCATGTGCAGAACAATGTCAACTACTATAACAACTACCCCATGTGCAGAACAATGTCAACCACTATAACAACTACCTCATGTGCAGAACAATGTCAACCACTATAACAACTACCCCATGTGCAGAACAATGTCAACCACAATAACAACTACCCCATGTGCAGAACAATGTCAACCACTATAACAACTACCCCATGTGCAGAACAATGTCAGCTACTATAACAACTACCCCATGTGCAGAACAATGTCAACCACTATAACAACTACCCCATGTGCAGAACAATGTCAGCTACTATAACAACTACCCCATGTGCAGAACAATGTCAACCACTATAACAACTACCCCATGTGCAGAACAATGTCAACCACAATAACAACTACCCCATGTGCAGAACAATGTCAGCTACTATAACAACTACCCCATGTGCAGAACAATGTCAACCACAATAACAACTACCCCATGTGCTGAACAATGTCAACTACTATAACAACTACCCAATGTGCAGAACAATGTCAACCACTATAACAACTACCCCATGTGCAGAACAATGTCAACCACAATAACAACTACCTCATGTGCAGAACAATGTCAACCACTATAACAACTACCCCATGTGCAGAACAATGTCAACCACAATAACAACTACCCCATGTGCAGAACAATGTCAACTACTTTAACAACTACCCCATGTGCAGAACAATGTCAACCACTATATCAACTATCCCATGTGCAGAACAATGTCAACCACAATAACAACTACCCCTTGTGCAGAACAATGTCAACCACTATAACAACTACCCCATGTGCAGAACAATGTCAACCACAATAACAACTACCCCATGTGCAGAACAATGTCAACCACAATAACAACTACCCCATGTGCAGAACAATGTCAACTACAATAACAACTACACCATGTGCAGAACAATGTCAACCACTATAACAACTACCCCATGTGCAGAACAATGTCAACTACTTTAACAACTACCCCATGTGCAGAACAATGTCAACCACAATAACAACTACCCCTTGTGCAGAACAATGTCAACCACTATAACAACTACCCCATGTGCAGAACAATGTCAACTACTTTAACAACTACCCCATGTGCAGAACAATGTCAACCACAATAACAACTACCCCTTGTGCAGAACAATGTCAACTACTATAACAACTACCCCATGTGCAGAACAATGTCAACTACTTTAACAACTACCCCATGTGCAGAACAATGTCAACTACTATAACAACTACCCCATGTGCAGAACAATGTCAACCACTATAACAACTACCCCATGTGCAGAAAAATGTCAACTACTATAACAACTACCCCATGTGCAGTTCAGCTTCAACCACTATTACATATATCCCATACACAGTACAACTTCAACCACCATTACATATATCCAAAATACAGTGTATTTTCAAACACTTTTACAAATATCCAAAATACAGTACAGCTTCAACCACTAAAACAACAGTCCAATAAACAGTACAGCTTCAACCACTAGTATTACTGTCCCATACACAGTACAGCTTCCACCACTATTACAACTACCCCATACACAGTACAGCTTCCACCACTATCACAACTATCCCATACACAGTACAGCTTCAACCACTATTACAACTGTCCCATACACAGTACAGCTTCAACCACTATTACAACTGTCCCATACACAGTACAGCTTCAACCACTATTACAACAGTCCCATACACAGCACAGCTTTAACCACTTTAACAACAGTCCCATACACAGTACAGCTTCAACCACTAGTACAACTGTCCCATACACAGTACAGCTTCAACCACTATTACAACTGTCCCATACACAGTACAGCTTCAACCACTATTACAACAGTCCCATACACAGCACAGCTTTAACCACTTTAACAACAGTCCCATACACAGTACAGCTTTAACCACTATTACAACTCTCCCATATACAGTACAGCTTCAACCACTATTACAACTGTCCCATACACAGTACAGCTTCAACCACTATTACAACTGTCCCATACACAGTACAGCTTCAACCACTATTACAACAGTCCCATACACAGCACAGCTTTAACCACTTTTACAACAGTCCCATAAACAATACAGCTTCCACCACTATTACAGCTGTCCCATACACAGTACAGTTTCAATCAATATTACAACTGTCCCATACTAAGTACAGCTTCAACTACTATGACAACTGTCGCATACACAGTACAGCTTCCACCACTAGTACAACTGTCCCATACACAGTACAGCTTCAACCACTATTACAACTGCCCCATACACAGTACAGCTTTCACCACAATTACAACTGTCCCATACACAGTACAGCTTCCACCACTATGACAACTGTCCCATACACAGTACAGCTTTCACCACAATTACAACAGTCCCATACACAGTACAGCTTTAACCACTATTACAACTGCCCCATACACAGTACAGCTTCAACCACTATAACAACTATCCCATACACAGTACAGCTTCAACCACTAGTACAACTGTCCCATACACAGTACAGCTTCAACCACTATTACAACTGTCCCATACACAGTACAGCTTCAACCACTATTACAACAGTCCCATACACAGCACAGCTTTAACCACTTTAACAACAGTCCCATACACAGTACAGCTTTAACCACTATTACAACTCTCCCATATACAGTACAGCTTCAACCACTAGTACAACTGTCCCATACACAGTACAGCTTCAACCACTATTACAACTGTCCCATACACAGTACAGCTTCAACCACTATTACAACAGTCCCATACACAGCACAGCTTTAACCACTTTTACAACAGTCCCATAAACAGTACAGCTTCCACCACTATTACAGCTGTCCCATACACAGTACAGTTTCAATCAATATTACAACTGTCCCATACTAAGTACAGCTTCAACTACTATGACAACTGTCGCATACACAGTACAGCTTCCACCACTAGTACAACTGTCCCATACACAGTACAGCTTCAACCACTATTACAACTGCCCCATACACAGTACAGCTTTCACCACAATTACAACAGTCCCATACACAGTACAGCTTCCACCACTATTACAACTGCCCCATACACAGTACAGCTTTCACCACAATTACAACTGTCCCATACACAGTACAGCTTTAACCACTATTACAACTGTCCCATACACAGTACAGCTTCAACCACTATTACAACTGTCACATACACAGTACAGCTTACACCACAATTACAACAGTCCCATACACAGTACAGCTTAAACCACTAGTACAACTGTCCCATACACAGTACAGCTTCAACCACTATTACAACTGCCCCATACACAGTACAGCTTCGACCACTATTACAATTGTCCCATACACAGTACAGCTTCAACCACTATTACAACTGTCCCATAAACAGTACAGCTTCAACCACTATTACAACTGTCCCATACACAGTACAGCTTCAACCACTATTACGACTGTCCCATACACAGTACAGCTTCCACAATCACTGTTCCTCAACCATTACCTGTTTGACATCTCCGCCCACTATATCCTGTTGGACACGAGCAGGCACCATAATTTGCTAAACCAGTAGGATCACACGTCCCTCCGTTCTCACAGGCGTGTTTGTCTGAACAATATAATCCAAACTCTCCACCGGCAGCAGCTACACCGCACGCTGAAACATACAGGACAAACTATGACAAACATTCAGGTAGAAATAACAGTTCAACGGAATTTCAATATTTGTTATGAAAGGTCTCGTGATGTCCAGGTCTTCATCGAACAGGAACTGCAAAACAATTGTGAAAGAACTAGAGTGAGTGAGTGAGTGAGTGAGTTGGGTTTAATGCCCCGTTGAACAGTATTCCAAATATATCACTCGTGTCAGCTTGCTGTGGAAGGAGTGAGTGGGTGAGTTGGGTTTAATGCCACGTTGAACAGTATTCCAGTTATATCACTGCGTGACAGCTTGCTGTGGATGAAAGCCAAAAGTGATGCAGTATAAGATATCAAGAGACGGGTGAACAGCTTGTGCAGCGCCCTAGGTGTTTCTTTTCAAATGTATTTTAAAGATTGGCTTTTGGAATATGGAATATACGTCTTACTTATGTGTCAAATATTAGAGCACAAAACACATTTCAACCACTATTACAACTGCCCCATACACAGTACAGCTTCAACCACTATTACAACTGTCCAATACACAGTACAGCTTCAACCACTATCACAACTACCCCATACACATTACAGCTTCAACCACTATTACAACTGTCCCATACACAGTACAGCTTCAACCACTATTACAACTGTCCCATACACAGTAAAGCTTCAACCACTATTACAACTGCCCCATACACAGTACAGCTTCAACCACTATTACAACTGTCCCATACACAGTAAAGCTTCAACCACTATTACAACTGTCCCATACACAGTAAAGCTTCAACCACTATTACAACTGTCCCATACACAGTACAGCTTTAACCACTATTACAACTGTCCCATACACAGTAAAGCTTCAACCACTATTACAACTGCCCCATACACAGTACAGCTTCAACCACTATTACAACTGTCCCATACACAGTAAAGCTTCAACCACTAGCACAACTACCCTCACATTTACTAGTCCTAGACCCTGCTACTTATTCATACCGCAACATATTTGACCCAGCTAGGCTTGATTTATCTGCGCGAAATTGATTTTGGAACCAAACGAGCAGCGTACAAATGGTGCACACCAAACGTAATCAAATACAACAGTGTTGAAAGCAGAACATCCAAATAATGTCATGCTATATACACGTACATATGTAAGTGTGTGAATAATCCGTGGCTGAAGTGATGGGGTAGAAGACACACTATATATCTCAACCCCAAAGGAAACCAAATACAACACTGTTGAGAGCACGCGTGTCCCAAATGGACTGGTCCAACCGTGCAGCATTTTTTAGCGTTACAGCTGTTTAACCTTCGAAGCACGACTTGTGCTTATTAGGGTATTAAGAAATATAGCATAAAACTCCAACTCTTTTGTGCTAGCAAATAATATATATTGAGTGAAGCGGCATAGGTTGAGTCCAATGTTTTGAGTGGGTTGTCGATGTGAATTAGAAGCAACGTTTGTTGCAAGATTTCGTTCGCTGACGCTGTTTGGTACACCTCTCGTCCGATGGGGAGAAGCGCACTGAGCGGTCTCATGAAAGTGTCCCGTGAAGATCCGGGGTAGAATAGGTCTTCAGCAAACCATGCTTGCCGTAAAAGGCCACTATGCTTGTTGTAAGAGGCGACTAACGGGATTGGGTTGTCAGGCTCGCTGACTTGGTTGATGCATGTCATCGATCCCAAATGCGTGGGTCGATGTTCATGTTGTCAATCACTGGATTGTCTGGTCCAGACTCGATTATTTACAGACCGCCTTCATATAGCTGTACTATTGCCGAGCGTGGCGTTAAACAACAAACAAACAAACAAAACATTAATGTATATTTCTATGGATGGCTAGTTCATCCATTCCTTTTTAAAAGCAATGTATTCTACAAGTGTAACTTTACAGTAACTTGCAGTAAGTAAGACAGATGATGGTGATCTCCACCCAATATCCACATTGATCTACTGTGAGCTCCAGCATTGCCCTAACAAGCAGAATCTGAGTTGCTTTTTGTGAACGGTGAATTTTACTTGAGAAACCTATGAGGTCCGGTTTGTTTAAAACAATGCTTTACCTGCGACGACGAACACCAGAGTGAGCAAACAGTGGTTCGTCATGTCTGTTTAGGAGGACCAGTCTTCTTACAGCCACCTCAAGTCTACAGCTCCCTGTCCGTGTGTGTCTCTGTGTAGCAGGACCAGTCTTCTTATATCATCAGCCAGCTCCCTGCCCGTGTGTGTATATGTGTGAAGCCCGACACAACTATTGTTCGTCTCATTGACAAGTGAGATGACGATGCAACCCAGTGTATACACGTAGCCACTCCGCTAGGAGGTGATAACAAAGATGCATATGATCATGCATGGGCTCCTGTTGTTGATGTGAACAAAGACTTTATTTATAAACTGCAGATACCTGCATATACAGAGATACACACACACACAAATACAGAGTAGAAAATGCTACAGGATGTAAAACGAGAGGCCTGCTTTATTCATTTTCAAAAGAGTTGGTTTCAGAGCACAGGGTTTGTTTTCACACTTGTCTTCGATCGTTTTTATTTGGACCAGTTGTATTAGTGATTTAATTGCTGATTGGATGAGGAATTTTGGGATTTTGTATTGTAGCTGAGCGTGAAATGTATATCATGTGATCGCCATCCCATTTCGGCACACGGGAAAAATGTCATGATTTTGTAAACATGCCCCAACAAGAATGTTCGCGTCAGAGATTTTACGACGTTTCGGGAGGATTATAAGTGTTTTGACAAAGCGCAGACACCCGACAGCTTTGTAACTGAACTTCCCATGTAACTGTCCGTTATTTGGAGATATACTATGAACTTCCCATGTAACTGTCCGTTATTTGGAGATATACTATGAACTTCCCATGTAACTGTCCGTTATTTGGAGATATACTATGAACTTCCTATGTGACTGTCCGTTATTTGGAGATATACTATGAACTTTCCATGTAGCTGTCCGTTATTTGGAGATATACTATGAACTTCCCATGTAACTGTCCGTTATTTGGAGATATACTATGAACTTCCCATGTAGCTGTCCGTTATTTGGAGATATACTATGAACTTCCCATGTAGCTGTCCGTTATTTGGAGATATACTATGAACTTCCCATGTAGCTGTCCGTTATTTGGAGATATACTATGAACTTCCCATGTAACTGTCCGTTATTTGGAGATATACTATGAACTTCCCATGTAACTGTCCGTTATTTGGAGATATACTATGAACTTCCCATGTAGCTGTCCGTTATTTGGAGATATACTATGAACTTCCCATGTAGCTGTCCGTTATTTGGAGATATACTATGAACTTCCCATGTAGCTGTCCGTTATTTGGAGATATACTATGAACTTCCCATGTAGCTGTCCGTTATTTGGAGATATACTATGAACTTCCCATGTAGCTGTCCGTTATTTGGAGATATACTATGAACTTCCCATGTAGCTGTCCGTTATTTGGAGATATACTATGAACTTCCCATTTAGCTGTCCGTTATTTGGAGATATACTATGAACTTCCCATTTAGCTGTCCGTTATTTGGAGATATACTATGAACTTCCCATGTAGCTGTCCGTTATTTGGAGATATACTATGAACTTCCCATGTAGCTGTCCGTTATTTGGAGATATACTATGAACTTCCCATGTAACTGTCCGTTATTTGGAAAAATACTATACACTGAGAATGGGGAGAGTTTCTAGGGCTTCGGTCCTGCTTCCACAATGAAGCACATGTGTCGCACGTGGTATCGGCTTAGGGAAGTAACTGTTCGAAATATGCCTGTGTTCACTCAGCAGTGAATAGGTACCCGGTAGGATGAGATAGGAATGTGATTTTCAACCTCCTAGCTCCTCGCCTCCAGCTTGGGTTGTATGTTTGTACACAGCTGTGGTATTCCTTTCCGGAGTCACCCCGATGGACTAATAATAAACAATGATTACAACGTGGAGGTAATAAATACTGTGAATGACATGGACTTATGTACCATCCCCGGGGATAATCCTTTTACACTACTTCAACCCCCTTCGAGGTACAGCCACTGACAATCTTAGTTATCCAATTTATTCTACCAAAATTAAAAGATCATTTATTATTTACAAAACACATTTATCAAAATTTATGTACAAGTTCTATTTCTTTTAAAAAAACTAAGGATTAATTGAGAGCTGATATTGTTAAAAAGATCCTTTAACGATGAAACTTTAAAATATTTATCCCTTGTGATAGAAAAATCCATACAGTCAAGCAAGACATGCTTGACTGTGATTCTTTCATTACAAGGGATACAGAATGGAGGATCCTCACCTTTCAATATATAGTCATTAGTATATCTTGAATGGCCAATACGACACCGTCGCATAATGACCTCATCAAATCTGGACTGGTTTAATTTCATGTAGTTTATTTATACCAACTTGAGTTTCAAACTTCTTTTGCATTAGATTACGGATGTAAGATCTAATCACGGGTTTATAATCACTGTATGGAATGAGAAGTGGTGTCACAGATTTGTTGAGTGCTGCCTTGGCGGCAGCATCGGCCTTTGTGTTACCAATGATTCCAACATGGCTGGGTAACCAACGAAAAACGATGTCGTATTGGCCAGTAGCAAGTTGATCACATAATTCAATAAGTTCAATTAAAAGTGGATGATTACATGATAGATACGAGAGGAAGTCCGAAAATAATATAAATTGCTTATGCCAAGTTTGTTCACCAATATATTTTAGAGCCGTTACAATTGCATGGGATTCGGATGGAGAACTATTATCGGGTAGTCGTCAAGACATAATCCTGGATCCAACGACGGTGGCGCTAGCAACCGCATCACCACCCTTGGATCCGTCCGTAAATATAGATTTGAATGTGTTATAGTTGTTCCGCAATTCATTAAATTCTTGTTGATAGATTAGTTGGTTGGTTTCCCAACTGCCATGGGGGAGAGGATAAAATCTGAGTTGGAGCTATATTTTCAAGATTGATTTTGCCAGCAGAAATGTCGGATTTGATTCGTAGACCAAGTGGATGAACAAGGGATGACTTTTTATGATACATATCCTTATAGAGAGGATTAAAAACGCAATCATATGCAGGATTAGTAGGATTGAATAGAGCTTTGTGAGGTATTGCATAGGAGTTTTATTCAACGTTGTTTTAGTGAGGGCTCATCCGCCTCTACATACAGACTATTGATAGGGAATGTTCTGAAGGCACAAGACAAAGCCTCAGGTCTTGATGATTAATACTATCTAATAATTTTAAATTACTTTTACAGGCTCCACCATAGATGATGGAGCCATAGTCCAGTTTAGAGCGGATAAGTGTCCTGTGCAGTTGGAGGAGGCTTTTCTGATCCCTCCCTACTTTGAATTTGAAACGACTTTCAGAAGGTCAAGAGCCTTCAGGCATTTATTTTTCAAATATTTGATGTGTGGTAAAAAGGTTAAATAGTGATCAAAAATAATACCCAGGAATTTAGCCTCTTTTACAACTTTAATTGGAGTGTTATCTAAAACTAGATCAGGGTCTTTATGAGGTTTATATTTTCTACAAAAATGGATACAATTTGTTTTGGATTTTGAAAATTTAAAACCGTTTTCCAACGACCATTTATTTATCTTATTTAGACACAGTTGTAATTGTCTTTCTATAGTACGCATGTTTTTACCACGACATGGTATGTTAATATCCACAAAAAGTGATCCATCAATTGAATCGTTTAAAACTTTGGAAAGACTATTTATGTTTATGCTGAACAATATAACAGATAAAATATTGCCTTGTGGGACATCCTGATCCTGATAAAAAGTTGGATGTAAATTGATGCAAACGGCCTCGCAACCCAAAATCATGTAAATCTTTTAAAATACCGTGATTCCATGTAGCGTCATATGCACGTTGTTTGTTTATAACAGCATTCTTAACAAATGATTCCAATCGAACTAAATGGTCAATGGTACTGCGATTTTTTACAGAAACCACATTGAATATTTGTTATTAAATCATTTGATTCCAAGTACCAGGTTAATCTATAATTGACCATGCGTTCCATTGTTTTGCAAACGCAACTAGTCAATGAAATGGGTCGATAATTGGAAGGATCAGTATGATCACGGCCAGGTTTAGGTATGGGAACAATTATAGCCTCACGCCATGAAGAAGGAAATTCTCCTGACGTCCAGATTTTATCAAATATGATCAAAAGGGTTTCTAAACAGGATTGCGGTAAATGTTTTAAGAGTTGATAATGTATATTATCAGACCCTGCAGCAGTGTCATGAGCCTGCCCAAGTGCAGTATGGAGCTCATGAATAGAAAAGACTTCATTGTAATCTTCCCCGTTATCTGAATTGAAATGTAAAGGTTTCTTTTCCTGCAGCTTTTTGTATTTTTGAAATTAGGACATATGTAGACGAGGAAGAATGGTGAGCCAGAGTTTCACCAAGTTTATTTGCAATATCTGATGTATCAGTTAACAATTGATCCCCATCCTTGAGATGGTGGATGCTTGATTTAGTACCCTTACCTTTTATTTTCTGAATCATGTTCCATACCTTGGACATTGGCGTCCGTGAATTTATCTTGGATCCATAATTTTGCCAAGATTGACGTTTGTTTTGTTTGAAAGTGTGCCTGGTTTTAGCATTTACAATTTTAAATTTATTGAGATTATGGACCATTGGATGGCGTCGGAAATATTGTTCAGCTTTTTTCCCGTGCCTTCCTAGCTTGTTTGCAATCATTGTTGAACCATGGTATAATATGTGAGAATTTGAGGAGGCCTTCGGAATACATTCAACAGTTATGTTAGTAGGTTCATCAGACAACATTTGTACAGTGTCGGGAACATCAATAAAAACTACAGGCTTTAGTTTGTTAGAACAAAGGACTTCATATAATGCCCAGTTGGCTTGAGTAAAATTCAAACGTGTACATGGAAGAATATCAGAAGGTGTAACAGATTTTAAAATGGTAGGAAAATGGACACTTCCACAGAGGTAATCGTGGACTGACCATTCCAATTCATTAGGTTAATTAGAATTTAAAACTGACAAGTTCAGGCAAGAGTATGTTCCTGTTGCAGGATGAAGATACATGTGAGAACCATCATTAAAAAGGCATAAATCATTATTTAAGAAAAGATCCTCAAGTAATTTTCCTTTAGTGTTGGTGACATTACTACCCCAAAGTGGGTTATGACCATTCAGATCTCCCCTGATGACACAGGGCTTGGGGAGTTGGTCATACAGTGCCTGAAGATCAGACTGTCGTAGAGAGTACGATGGTGGTACACACAAAGGACACAAAGTAAAAACAGTATTCAATGTTATACAAACTGCCACAGCCTGAAGACGGGTATTGAGAGGAACAGGGCTGTGAATGATGCCCTGCCTCGCCATAACAGAAGATCCCCCAGTTGCTTTATGACCTGGAGGGGAAAAGCAATGGTAGGAATCATATTGTCGTAAATAAAAATTATCTGTAGTTTTAAGGAACGTTTCTTGCAAACAAAATGCCGATGGTTTAAAATCTAGAATTCAGAGCTGAAGGTCATTAAAATTAGTCCGAGGTCCTCTGCAATTCTATTGGATTAAATTGGGAGAGCAACTCATGGCGGCTCAATTGGAGATCGTGAGAGTGGAGAAGGTTCTTTACGCTGTAATGGCAGCGATGTAGTGACCTCCATGTCTAAAGGTTCAAAGGGATTTTGAATTTCCAGAGGGACTGTCAAGGTTGTAGGCACCATTATGTTTAAGGGCCTTAGATTCTTTTTTCCTTTGTTGCTTTCTTTCTAAGATAGACACAATTTTATGGATAACAACTTCTTTAATACTGTGAAAAGCGACGTTTCGGTATAGATCCTTATGCCGTTGTGAAGCAAGACTGAATGAGGGAAATAGTGCAGAATATATATAGTAGAGGATTAACAGTAACAACAATAGCATACACGAGTGGGATCTATACCGAAACGTCGCTTTTCACAGTATTAAAGAAGTTGTTATCCACAAATTTGTGTCTATCTTGTCATCCGTCAACTTCTAAATAATGCCTATCAAACAATTTGCTTTAAGGGCCTTAGATTCTTTTTTCCTTGCTGCTTTCTTTCTTTTCTGGTTAGGGTCGCATTACTTTTTATGTCACATTCAGGTTCAGGTGTGGTATCAGGTTGAGATTGAGTGAGTGAGTTTCATTTTCCGGCAGAGGTTCTGTTTGTGAAGGTGTTGAAGTAGATTAGTATGAAGTGTAGGGTGTCTTCAGCATGGAACGGGAGCACTGAACTATCAGTTGTATGTGAATTACAACATCAAATATGGACCCTGTGTGGAACGGGACCCCTGAAATATCTCAGATGCGAAGAAACTGCTTCAAATCGAATCAACCTATTCCTACCATTCACTGACTGCAGCATTGGGGGGTAGCAGCAGAGGAGATAGCAGCAGAGGGATAGCAGCAGAGGAGATTGCAGCAGAGGAGATAGCAGCAGAGGAGATAGCAGAAAAGGAGACTGCAGCAGAGGAGACTGCAGCAGAGGAGACTACAGCAGAGGAGATAGCAGCAGAGGAGATAGCAGCAGAGGAGACAGCAGCAGAGGAGACAGCAGCAGAAGAGACAGCAGCAGAGGAGATAGCAGCAGAGGAGACTACAGCAGAGGAGACTACAGCAGAGGAGATAGCAGAAGAGGAGACTGCAGCAGAGGAGACAGCAGCAGAGGAGACAGCAGCAGAGAAGATAGCAGCAGAGGAGACTGCAGCAGAGGAGACAGCAGCAGAGGAGACTACAGCAGAGGAGACTGCAGCAGAGGAGATAGCAGCAGAGGAGACTGCAGCAGAGGAGACAGCAGCAGAGGAGACAGCAGCAGAGGAGACTGCAGCAGGGGAGACTGCAGCAGAGGAGACTGCAGCAGAGGAGACAGCAGCAGAGGAGACTGCAGCAGTGGAGATAGCAGCAGTGGAGACTGCAGCAGAAGAGACAGCAGCAGAGGAGACTGCAGCAGAGGAGACAGCAGCAGAGGAGACTGCAGCAGAGGAGATAGCAGCAGTGGAGACTGCAGCAGAAGAGACAGCAGCAGAGGAGACAGCAGCAGAGTAGGTAGGTCAGTGAATGGGTGGAATAGGTTGATTCGATTTGAAGCAGTTTCTTCGCATCTGAGAATGAGATATCGTTAGTATATTTTAATTTGAATATTTTCGTCTGAGTCACAAAGGAGGGGCATGATTTAGATGACGACATGCGGTCACCACTGTAGTTGGAACATTTGATGTCATCTGTACAGTCAGTGCCATCGTGTTTCTTACTGCAGCGGGAGCAAACTGCTGAGTTGCGACAGGATTTAGCTCCATGCCCGAACTGCTGACTTTTAAAACAACTCTGATGTGATGGTAATTTGTATCACGATAGCAGGAAGTATTTAATACGTGTCAAATCTTATTTCGTTTAACGATTGCTCTTTTAACATGTTACCTTGATCAGCGACGCCAACACACAGCTCCACTTTCTGGTTTTCAAGTAATTTACTCCGAAATACTTAATAATGGTGCACGTTTTTGGTTGGTTATTTGTTTAGTAATGTCATGTGTGTATGTTGCATCAATAATATGTAGGTATGATAGTCGGTAATGAAGTAATTAGCCAATAACACTTTGGCCCGTCTTGGCCCGTCCCAGCACGACTTTTAGGCAATGCCAAAGTGGATACACAAGAGTTGGGACACTGATATGCGGGTTGAAATCAGTCCTTGACATGAGAGATTAGGTTAATTAAACACATAATTTTGCTTTCATATAAAGTATTGTAAGAACTGGGGAGCCAATAAGGAAGTATGACACGCATTCACACACGGAAGCATATTATAGTTGACTTACTCTCCAAGAACGATCACATTGATAGCCTAGTCAAGAAAGTCAGTCCAAGGATTAACTGTCTCAGGAGTTTCAAGTATCGTTTAAATAGAAAAACACTGGAAACTATGTATAAATCTTTCATATTACCGATATTTGATTATTGTTGCCATATATGGGACAACTGCACAAAAGAACAGGAGTTACTTCTTGAAAAACTAAATCTAGATGCACTCAGAACTATTTGTGGGGTTGTTCGTGGCACAAGTCACGGTAAACTTTATAAAGAAACAAATTTTACATCATTAGAAGAAAGAAGGCATGTTCAAAAGTTAAATATTTTTTATAAGATGGTTAAACAATATAGTACCGGACTATCTCTCATCCTTAGTTCCAAATAGAGTGTCGGATGCAAGTGATTATAATTTGAGAAACTGCTCACGGCTGCAAACCACAAAGTGTAAATCAAATAATTATGCCAAATCATTTATTCCAGATACAGTTAATATTTGGAACTCACTACCTATTGAATATACCAATGCCAGTAGCTTAGGAAGTTTTAAAAGTTTCATAAAAAAGCAATGATAGGAATGGTATATACTTTGATACAAATTATGGATCAAGATTCTTTCAGGTTATACACTCCCGTCTCAGGCTTGGCTGCAGTGATCTTAACGCCGACAAATTTGCCAGATTTATATCCGACAGCCCGAGATGTTGTTGTGGCTATCATACGGAAGATGCACTTCTTTTCTTTCTTACGTGTCCCTTAAACAGTACAATAAGGCAAAACATGTATTATTTCGTGAAAGGCTGCGATTTAAATTCAATTGTAAATGGTTATTCAAATTTAACGACAGTAACAAATTTTGAAATTTTGAAATCGGTGCACAGTTGTATTCTATCTTCATGCCGATTTAGAGATTTTGTCTGAGATGATGGCTTTGCTTTATGATACTGTGATGTTGTTGTGCTGAATGTAAATAATAATGTAACTGTAGTTATGGAAGATAATCGAGTAATTAAACACTTACAGAACAATACTTACCTTTAATTCCAATTATACAATGTATGCTATTTCTCATGTCACTGGGGGGCACGGGTGGCCCAGTCGTCTGAGGCGCCGCGATTCGCTGTGCAGAGTTGCGTCCCTTTGGCACGCCAGAAACCTATGATTGAGGGTTCGAATCCCGGTTCGCCCCGATTATGTTTCTAGGTTTGTCAGCACCATACCCGTGCTCGTGGGTTTCACCGAAGTGGTAAACGTCTGAGACGTTAAACCCAACTCACTCACTCACTCACTCACTCTCATGTCACTATCAATACATTGCTATTTGTATATGTATCATGTTTGGGAGAGGCATTCAGATAAGCAAAGTTTGCTTGTTGGCCAATCCCTCCACTTAATGGAAATAAACATGTGTATACCATATCCCCAAATTTCAGCTGCATATAGAAGAGTCGGTTGTACTAACCGGTCGAAGGGCTTACGTTGACAATCAATTGGAATATCCAGCAATCGTGTCTTTCTGAAGATAGCGTACATTGCTTTTGAAGCTTGGTCTGATAATGTCTTCATCGCTTTACTTAATCTACCAGTGTTACTAAAAATTATACCAAGATACGAAAATTCTTTCACAATATCTAGGAGTCTTTGCCGAAAATAAAATTGTAAATTTCTAGTATTGTGGCGTTTGGAAAAGACTATTACTTTTGTTTTTGAAATAGTTATCTTAAGTTTCCATAATTCACAATCTCTTCTCTTTGCAATTCACATGCTGATTCAGCATACAGCATATAACAAAATAAAGAGCTTTATATATAAACTTAATTGCAAATTGAACTTATCGCTTACATATTTTAAACCGGATACATCTTTATTTTCAAGGAACGTTTCTAGATCATTTAAGAAAAGGGCAAACAGGAAAGGTGACAGGTTTTCACCCTGTCTCACGCCAATCTTACAAAAAAATAAAGAAGAGTTATTTCCTTCCAGGAAAACATATGATTTTATTCCTTGATACATATTATATATAACATTAAAACACTTCCCACCAACATTTGAGTTTAACATTTTGAACCATAGACTGTTTCTATCAATGGCATCAAAAGCTTTACTAAAATCAATAAAAGCACAGTATAAATTCTTGTTCTGGTTTAGGGGGGCACGGGTGGCCCAGTCGTCTAAGGCGCCACGATTCGCTTTGCAGAGTTGCGTCCCTTTGGCACGCCAGAAACCTATGGTTGTGGGTTCGAATCCCGGTTCGCCACGATTATGTTTCTAGGTTTGTCAGCACCATACCCGTGCTCGTGGGTTTCACCGAAGTGGTGAACGTCTGAGATCTAGACCTGCATCACTTCGGGCTTTCCTCCCACATTAAGCTGACACGCCGCGATATAACTGGAATACTGTTAAAAGCGGCGTTCAACCAAACTCACTCACTCACTCTTGTTCTGGTTTAAGTACAGTTCAATTAAGAGTTTTAATACAGACATATTGTCAAGAGTTGAGTATTTCTTCCTGAAGCCGGCTTGGTTTTCCTTTATAAGACTGATTGAGTCCGAGAAAGCTTGGAAGCGATCGGAGATTATTGAGGTGAATAACTTGCCGAGGCAGCTTACTACCGTTATGCCCCTATAGTTGCCAGGGTCGCTTGGGTCACCTTTGTTTTTATATATGGGCAAAAAGTTAACCAACCAGATCACGACTCATATGGGATGAGATAAATACATTTATTCGACGTCAGAGTATAACCAGTCGGGATTATCCGTCAAAGCAGATTTCATTGGACGTTAAAGGCAGAATTCCTGTCTAAAGGATATTAAATGAATCCCTGAAAACGTGATGAGAAGAGCATGCTTATACAAATCCACACGAAATAAATTACTTGCAATCTAAGATAATACTGGGTCGGATGCACACTAGAAGTAATGTCACAGTGTATAATTGTTGACAACATGCTATTTTTTTTTAGCAAGCATAGCATTCTCAACAATGTATTAAAATATAGAAGGAATAAAATGACAAAGCGGTTATTGCATGTGTATCTGTTTCCCACTTATTCTATTCAATTCGTGTCAGAAAGATTACAAATTAATCCTAACATTCTGTCTGTGGTTAATCGAGACTGATTATTCTCTTCCGTTGACATTTTATATTAAATATATTTGGCCTTAAAGAGTTTGACGTGAAATTCCATATTCATACTAGAACAATTTAGTGTACTGTGGTACCATATGCAATGTCATTGATATGTTTAGAAACTATTAACCGACCTAAGCACGTTCAGGGTGTTTAGGGACTAGTGTGTTTAGGATCTATACCAGGGAAAAATCACCTTTGTTTTTTATATATGGGCTTTATTTAACCAATTAACCACCTGTCGGGAACAAAGCCGGTGTTCAGGATTACATTAAACAGTTTAGTATAGACATGTAACATTTTGTCTACAGACGCTTTGATATACTCATTGTATACACAATCTAATCCACTGGCCTTATTGTTTTTCAGCTTGAGCATACTTCGTCCTCAGTTATTTGGACATTTAATTGTGAATTAGTGAAGTGTCAATATAATTTACATTGTAATCATTAGGAACATCATTCAAGTTCTTAAAATGTTCATATAAACTTTTCAGATCAATACATTTGTTACATTCATGTTTCTTATCAAATGGTTTTAATAGTGACCAAAACGTTTTCTGGTCTTTAGCCTTTGTTTCTCGCAGCTTTATTTTACATTCATTTTTGTAATTTTTAAGAGATGCTTTAATAGTTTTATTATAGTTTTTACTTGCTACATTGAAATTATATTTGCTTTGAACGGTGACCTCGTGCCCGGCGGCGAGGGTCGCTGAATAGGTCCCCAATACTATGCCCTGTGTTTGAGGCGTTACAGAGAGAGAGAGAGAGAGAGAGAGAGAGAGAGAGAGAGAGAGAGAGAGAGAGAGAGAGAGAGAGGAAATATTTTATTAAGATGTCACGTGCAAATAACATGTAGAATATAAACAATTATCATCATTATTGCACCCAGCCTTGCACAGGCTTATGAGACATCGTATGTACATTAAAACATGTATAAAAGTATCTAAGTAAAAACATTGTAACATCATCCTGTCTTATTCCAGCAGCCAAGGAAACTGTCAATTTTGTTGGACACAATATTTTAACGTTATATGTGCTTCTTAAGATCGTAAGTTACCAAATGGCTGACTATTTTTAGTACAAAATGATAGGAAAAATAACCATCAAAACACCTATTTATGTGTATGTTAACACCAGTCACACAATACTCACAAACGTTCTGTGCAAAACACAACAACGCAAAAGTGATATAGAGGATTAACCACTGTGTTCGGTTGTTACCGAAAAATCTACACAGGAGTGATTAATCTGCCACGATTAGAACTCGGCAAAGCCTCGTGATTAATCTGCCACGATTAGAACTCGGCAAAGCCTCGTGGTTAATCTGCCACGATTAAAACTCGGCAGAGCCTCGTTCTAATCGTGGCAGATTAATCACGAGTGTGTAGATTTTTCGGTAACAACCGAGCGAAAACAGTTGTTAATCCTTTCTCTCCCATAGCAATACGCCATAAAATGTCGAGCTCGAAGTTGAAGATTTCCAGTGTTTAGTAACCACTCGGGATTTCCCCCAGCCTCGTTTTCGAATATGCTCAGTAAGACAACTGTAACATAAACAGGTAAAAAGGTTCTAGCGAAGACAACTCACACGAATTTTCCGTGACAGGCAAGCCACTTGTTAGCATTCGTGTTATGTTTTTTGTTAACTATTAAAAGCTGATGGGGGTAACGTTTTGAGAATTAGTAATGTGATTTGATATTTGTTAATGGCTTTGGATTACTCGGCCCATAACTTTATTTGCATTCGTCTCGCCGTGACTATCATTCTCAATGCGCAACGATAATAAGGCCCACCGTTTGAGTGTTTGTAAATACGTTATTCGTTTATTTGTCCGTTAGAAACTAATGTAATAAACCAAAATGTGAGGAAATTAAATATTGTCTTTTTTGTAATATATTGTTAGCGAAAAACAAGGGCCATATGAACTATCAGCAGGATTGATCAGGCAAGATTAAAAATTACCAACTCGGGCAACTGATCAGCTGATTACTGCTAGGTAAATCTTCTCAAATCAATCAATGGATTGTTTAAGAATTACCTTCACTTTGTGCGAGTTCATTGGTGTATGAACCTTCATAGAGTGAGGGCCAAACTGTATGAACGTCGGAGCTTGCGAGTAGGTCAATTCTTATAATTTTTTTATCACAATTTCTCGCCTCAAAGGATGTAGGCAGAAATCTAAACACAATTATATTTAGTACGTGTGATTTCATGTTTACACTGACAGCCATACAACAACCAACTAAATCGCGGAGTAAAATAGTTCCTCAAAAAGAGAAGTGACATGGGCGTATGGATGCACAACTTGCTTTTCAGAAACATCTTACGCGGCAGATGTGTTCAAATCATATCCTCATCAGACGAGAAAGGTCTGTAAAAAACTACCTCAGTAAGTCAGTCACAATGACAGCGCGTCGTAATACATTTACATCAAGTAAAAGACGTCAAAATGGCCGACACGATAAACGTGACGGGAGAGATTTCCGGAGTTGTTAATGAACTTGTGGCGGTTACATGTGTTAGTCATCATTGATCAAATGGCCGATCATTGAAAGGTGAATGAACATGCGTCTAACAGACATAAAGGTAAACTCATAGATTGCTGGAGACGGTCAATGTCATCCTGGGCACGGATCGAGTAGATACTACGATAGTTTAGATGTGCATTTCTTTGTTTGTTCATTAGGATTGGCCGTAGCGAGGATATTCGTGAACAATCGTGCAGTCACGCTCTCTGACATTTCTCAATGTATACTGAAAGGCTGAGACCAAGAATGAAGGTTCTAAATGATCAGAAAAAACGCTTATTCATGTTTTCGTGCTAGGGAATCCCCAGTGGTTTCCTAAGGAATGTGGAGTGAGTGAGATTGGTTTGACGCCGCTTTTAGCAATATTCCAGCAATATCACGGCGGGGGACACCAGAAATGGGCTTCACGCATTGTACCCATGTCGGGATTCGAACCCGGGTCTTTGGCGTGACGAGCGAACGCCTTAACCACTGGGCTACCCGACCGCCCCCCAGAAATGTGGAAATAGTCCGTCAGGGTTTACGTCATTTCAAGAACACGGTCTCGTGAAAAACGTATGAACGTCAAATTGTGTCGTTCATACACTTATGAACGTCAATTTCGCGGCCATGTGACCGACCTCTCGTCCAATGGAAAAGCCGTATATCGTGTAAACTTCAAATTAAAAAATTATAATATTTTGAACGAATTTTCCTCTTTAAAACTAATTTTACAGTGAATAATTTAATATGTAATATGGTGATTACTTCATGACATCTTTTATTTTGTTTTTGTTTTGTTCCTGAACACGATGAGCACAAGTGTTCTTTTGACCATGATATTTAACATCATGACACCCAAAATGTTACTAATGGGTTATCTAATTTTTCCATATCTGTGAACGACACAATGTGAATTTGACAGGCACAATACTTTATTGTGTGTGAAACATAAATACATAGGATATATGTAACAATAAATTATCATTCAATAGTTATACAAATATTTAAATTATTTTAATACCCTTGTAAAATTACGTTTATATTTTACTGCTACAGTTACATCCAAATTTTTTTCTTATTTTATCAGATTAGAAATTAAGAATTACTGATCATAGCTAATTAAAATTTAACATGTTCTTCTTTTTATCATCATGAAAACAAGAATCATAATAAACATATATTTCAGTGATCTGATCATATATGAACTTTTTGTAAAAAGTAGTAAAATTAAAATTTGACATTGCTTATGTTGAGAAATGAGGTTTATGGTAAATGGTATAAGATGACCTCTTGTGGTCGTTTCTTCATCATCCATAAATTTGAGTTTTTCTTTACTGACCAAGTTCTGAAAATTTACACATTACACATTAGAATAATTTAGGGTCTCTGATTAAAAAAGCGACATAGCTTTCCACTCTCAGGCAGCCAATAAGATTGTGTTAAAACAAATAAACCACTGTAAACCTTGTAATGGGAGAATAATACAGAATCTCTTTTTCAAAAACTTTACTAAAAAAGTATAATCCCAAATGTTGCATGCGTTACATTTGACCACTTTCTTAAAGGCACTGTCTGATCCTAGGTTTGGAATCCGTGCCAAATAACATTAATCAGAGGGGTACACAAAATACGTGATCTAGAGTTCCTGTTGTTCGACTTCCAGTTTGGTGAAACCTCGGTGGCTCAGTGGGTCAGGTCGCTGAATTTTGGTACTGGCGATAACGTGTCTCACTCTGAAAGTGTGGGTTCGAATCCCAGACCTTGTACTTTCCTGTGAAAGTGTTCGATTTGTATAAACACGCATATTGTGCTTGTCCCATATTTTTAATTTTCAGGGGCGGTTGGGTAGCCTAGTGGTTAAAGCGTTCGCTCGTAACGCCGAAGACCCGGGTTCGATTCCCGACATGGGTACAATGTGTGAAGCCCATTTCTGGTGTCCCCCGCCGTGATATTGCTGGAATATTGCTAAAAGCGGCGTCAAACCATACTCACTCACTCACTATTAATTTTCATTGTTTACATTTCAGATATGAATAAACATCCTCAACGATGTCTCCAAAAGGAAATAATAAAATGAACTGAGACAAGCAAAGTAACGCTCCTATAAAAACTCTCAGATGTATTTCTCGTCGTGGTGTTACATCGCAAAGACGACAAGGACCGTTGTGGGAAAATATTTCGACACGATAAGTCGTACTCAGGGTTGTTTACTTGGATACATGCCGAAATTGTTGTGGTAAACAATTACGATCTTTACCTACCGGGTCAAGTTTGGCTGTGAAATAGTCCACGGAATTATAGGAACGATTGGGGATTAATTTTCTGCGTCATCATCTTGATGGTTTTTGCATATACTTGCATAATACGATCGAAATAGCCTCAAGGGGTTGTCAATGCCGATGGTCAAAACACGACCAGACAGGCATACGGTAGGGGGGCAACGGAGACTTTGTTGTGTACAAACCAGTGCCACTCATGGGGACCAAGCTGGGAGGACAATCGTGTTGTGAAAACCGGTGTTCGTTGTATGCGCTTGCCATGACTCTTTGGTGAAAATTCTGCGTTCGTTATAGCGACTCTGTTGTGCAATTTCACTTATAACACAAAGATAGAAACTGAATGTTCCCCGGACTTCGATGATACCAGCTTATCTCTCAGTTGCATTTATTTCCACTTGTGTCTTACGTCCGTGATATAAAGAGCTCCAACCAAGAAGCGCGGCGGGAGTACAGTTATCAGTGCATGGAGTGAGGCGCCTGTGTCTTGGCCTGGGTGTGAGGTCGTGTGAGGTTGTGCGTTCAAGCCATGAGGTGGCCCCGCGGTGGGAAACTGTTCGGGAGGGGATCTTCCCCTGTCATTGTGACCCTCCTGGCGTGTGTTGTGACACTTCAGTTTCTACTGCTGACGCGACAACACCCTGGTAGGTACATCATTTTGTTTCTATCTCGTAGTTAGTGAAACGTACATGGCAGCTGTTTGACCACGCCATGTACACATCGATGACATTCAATTAACGTGTGAGGTCTCTCGACAAGGGACAAACTTACTGTGTCAATAATAACTGAATACTGGGCACAAACAATAAGTCTTTACAATACTGACTACTTGGTTATTTGACCCGTGAAGACCCGGGGTAGAATAGGTCTCATCAACCCATGCTTGCCGTAAAAGGCGACTTTGTTTGTCGTAAGAGGCGACTAACGGGATCGGGGTGGTCAGTCGTGCTGACTTGATTGTTGCATTTCATCGTATCTGCCATCTTCCCGAGGCAAGGGAGTTAACTGACTTTAAAAGTCCAGTTTCCACCCTTGCCGAACTAGGCTGGAATTCCTGAGCTCGACCGTAGCGCCACCAGTGATTATTACGAGTTATGCCCCTTCTAAACCTCTCATATGGACCAATCAGATTCCACCTCTCGTATCACTTGCATTTGCTCCAACCAAATGGCGGCGCCCTGTCAAAACGATCTGATCGACTTTCAAGATCAATATTGTGATAAAACGGGTTTTACATAGAGAAGTGCATCAAATCATAGACACGTTAGTCCAGCCAAAATGTAACTCCATAATACCAGCCTAGTTCGGCAAGGTCTAGAAACTCCGTAATACCAGCCTAGTTCGGCAAGGGTGGAAACTCCGTAATACCAGCCTAGCTCGGCAAGGTCTGGAAACTCCGTAATACCAGCCTAGTTCGGCAAGGGTGGAAACTCCGTAATACCAGCCTAGTTCGGCAAGGGTGGAAACTCCGTAATACCAGCCTAGTTCGGCAAGGTCTGGAAACTCCGTAATACCAGCCTAGTTCGGCAAGGGTGGAAACTCCGTAATACCAGCCTAGTTCGGCAAGGTCAGGAAACTCCGTATTGCCAGCCTAGTTCGGAAAGGGTGGAAACTCCGTAATACCAGCCTAGTTCGGCAAGGTCTGGAAACTCCGTAATACCAGCCTAGTTCGGCAAGGGTGGAAACTCCGTAATACCAGCCTAGTTCGGCAAGTTCTGGAAACTCCGTAATACCAGCCTAGTTCGGCAAGGGTGGAAACTCCATAATACCAGCCTAGTTCGGCAAGGTCTGGAAACTCCGTAATACGAGCCTAGTTCGGCAAGGTCTGGAAACTCCATAATACCAGCCTAGTTCGGCAAGGGTGGAAACTCCGTAATACCAGCCTAGCTCGGCAAGGTCTGGAAACTCCGTCATACCAGCCTAGTTCGGCAAGGGTGGAAACTCCGTAATACCAGCCTAGTTCGGCAAGGGTGGAAACTCCGTAATACCAGCCTAGTTCGGCAAGGTCTGGAAACTCCGTAATACCAGCCTAGTTCGGCAAGGGTGGAAACTCCGTAATACCAGCCTAGTTCGGCAAGGTCAGGAAACTCCGTATTGCCAGCCTAGTTCGGAAAGGGTGGAAACTCCGTAATACCAGCCTAGTTCGGCAAGGTCTGGAAACTCCGTAATACCAGCCTAGTTCGGCAAGGGTGGAAACTCCGTAATACCAGCCTAGTTCGGCAAGTTCTGGAAACTCCGTAATACCAGCCTAGTTCGGCAAGGGTGGAAACTCCGTAATACCAGCCTAGTTCGGCAAGGTCTGGAAACTCCGTAATACCAGCCTAGTTCGGCAAGGGTGGAAACTCCGTAATACCAGCCTAGCTCGGCAAGGTCTGGAAACTCCGTAATACCAGCCTAGTTCGGCAAGGGTGGAAACTCCGTAATACCAGCCTAGTTCGGCAAGGGTGGAAACTCCGTAATACCAGCCTAGTTCGGCAAGGTCTGGAAACTCCGTAATACCAGCCTAGTTCGGCAAGGGTGGAAACTCCGTAATACCAGCCTAGTTCGGCAAGGTCAGGAAACTCCGTATTGCCAGCCTAGTTCGGAAAGGGTGGAAACTCCGTAATACCAGCCTAGTTCGGCAAGGTCTGGAAACTCCGTAATACCAGCCTAGTTCGGCAAGGGTGGAAACTCCATAATACCAGCCTAGTTCGGCAAGTTCTGGAAACTCCGTAATACCAGCCTAGTTCGGCAAGGGTGGAAACTCCATAATACCAGCCTAGTTCGGCAAGGTCTGGAAACTCCGTAATACGAGCCTAGTTCGGCAAGGTCTGGAAACTCCATAATACCAGCCTAGTTCGGCAAGGGTGGAAACTCCGTAATACCAGCCTAGTTCGGCAAGGGTGGAAACTCCATAATACCAGCCTAGTTCGGCAAGGTCTGGAAACTCCGTAAGACCAGCCTAGTTTGGCAAGGGTGGAAACTCCATAATACCAGCCTAGTTCGGCACGGTCTGGAAACTCCATGATACCAGCCTAGTTCGGCAAGGTCTGGAAACCCAATAATACCAGCCTAGTTCGGCAAGGTCTGGAAACTCCGTAATACCAGCCTAGTTCGGCAAGGGTGGAAACTCCGTAATACCAGCCTAGTTCGGCAAGGTCTGGAAACTCCGTAATACCAGCCTAGTTCGGCAGGGTCTGGAAACTCCATAATACCAGCCTAGTTCGGCAAGGTCTGGAAACTCCATAATACCAGCCTAGTTCGGCAAGGTCTGGAAACCCCACAATACCAGCCTAGTTCGGCAAGGTCTGGAAACTCCGTAATACCAGCCTAGTTCGGCAAGGTCTGGAAACTCCATAATACCAGCCTAGTTCGGCAAGGTCTGGAAACTCCATAATACCAGCCTAGTTCGGCAAGGTCTGGAAACTCCATAATACCAGCCTAGTTCGGCAAGGGTGGAAACTCCATAATACCAGCCTAGTTCGGCAAGGGTGGAAACTCCGTAATACGAGCCTAGTTCGGCAAGGGTGGAAACTCCGTAATACCAGCCTAGTTCGGCAAGGTCTGGAAACTCCGTAAGACCAGCCTAGTTCGGCAAGGGTGGAAACTCCGTAATACCAGCCTAGATCGGCAAGGGTGGAAACTCCATAATACCAGCCTAGTTCGGCAAGGGTGGAAACTCCGTAATACCAGCCTAGTTCGGCAAGGGTGGAAACTCCGTAATACCAGCCTAGTTCGGCAAGGGTTGAAACTCTGTAATACCAGCCTAGTTCGGCAAGGGTGGAAACTCCATAATACCAGCCTAGTTCGGCAAGGGTGGAAACTCCATAATACCAGCCTAGTTCGGCAAGGGTGGAAACTCCGTAATACCAGCCTAGTTCGGCAAGGGTGGAAACTCCATAATACCAGCCTAGTTCGGCAAGGGTGGAAACTCCGTAATACCAGCCTAGTTCGGCAAGGGTGGAAACTCCGTAATACCAGCCTAGTTCGGCAAGGGTGGAAACTCACTTGCCTCGGGAAGATGCGTATCCGGTCACAGCTACAGATAAGCTGCGTATTTGCGTAAAATACTCCCCAAAAAAATTGAAACCCAATTACTGTCAATCATCTTGCGTACAAAAATGCGTGCATTAAAGGAAAACCTCATATGTATAAAAACAGCACGCGTAAATACCCAATGCGTACAACGGAGCTAATTTCCAAAACACAATTATGAGTTTATTTACTCAAGTCTATATATTGAGAACAGTTGTATACATCCAAAACATTATCTCATTTTTATTAAATCTTACAATGTTCACTAATTTTGGGAAAACCCAATAGAGTGATGAATGGATGAGAGAAATAATATTGGTTACCCAATCAAAAATGTGATAACCCAATTAAAATAGAAACCCAAGAAGTCAAAAAGTTATCTGGAGCTTTGTATCCCAATTGTCTGGATCGATGCTTATGATATCGATCACTGGATTGTCTGGTAGATACTCGATTATTTACGCACCGCCGTCATATAGCTGGAATATTGCTGAGTGCGGCGTTAAGCAATTAACAAACAAAACTTGGTTATTTGTACAGTGTAAAATCTCTCGTCACTTCAAAATATACATCAGAAAAAGTGTAGATGTTCAGGTTTTGGAAATACCAACAAAATATTCGGCCATTCGTCTGAACACTGTTTTATCATAACACATTAGGGGGCACGGGTGGCCCAGTCGTCTAAGACGCCGCGATTCGCTGTGCAGAGTTGCGTCCCTTGGGCACGCCAGAAACCTATGATTGCTGGTTCGAATCCCGGTTCGCCCCAATTATGTTTCTAGGTTTGTCGGCACCATATCTGTGTGGCAAACGTCTGAGGCCTGCATCACTTCGGGCTTTCCTCCCACATTAAGCTGACACGCAAGCATGGGTTGCTGAAGACCTATTCTACCCCGGAATCTTCATTGGTCTTTTAACGTCAATGAGAGAAGAGAAAAACGCATCGTTTTCAGATAAAAGCGGTTCACAATGTACAATAATGTGGCCGCCATAGTCGAAAGCATGCTTGTTACAGAGCTTATGATTGATGTAGCCACAATGTCGTACTTCATTAGCGGATGTGACCGCCTCCGTGGTCTAGTGGTAGAGCGTTCGCCCGGAGAGCGAAAGGTCCTGGGTTCGATTCCCGGCCGCGTCATACCAAAAGACGTTAAAAGATGGTACTTGTTCTAACCCTGTCTGGCGCTCGGCATTAAGGGGCTAAAACAAGGACTGGTCGGCTCGGAGTCAGTATACTGTGTCTGAGTGGGGTATTCATGTTAAACTGCGGCATGGAATCTCAGTGAGCTAGCACTATAAATCGGCATCAGTCCGGACCAGTACAAGCAGCCACACAAACACACACACGTGCATGCACGTCGCTATATAAGTGCAATAATCTTGGACGCGACGTTAAACCCCATTTCACCTCACCTCATTAGAGGATGTTAACATTGTAAATGTTTTAAATTCAGTCTGACTGTTTCAGTTAAGGATGGGAAGATGGAACGGGTGCACAGCCAGACAGACATGAAGGAAGTACGCGAGGAACGGATGGAGCCAGTCAAGGTGGTACTGATGACAATAGCATATGTTCCACAATCACAGTCTGTTTCCTTGTTGTTTAACGCCGCGCTCAGCAATATTCCAGCTTTATGACGGCGGTCTGTAAGTAATCGAGTCTGGACCAGACAATCCTGTGATTTACATCTAGAGCATCGATTTACGCGTTAGGATACGATGACATGCATCGACCAAGCCAGTGAGCCTGACCACTCGATCCCGTTAGTCGCCTCTCTCTAGCCCGGATCTTCACGGGTCTCCACAATCACAGAGTGTGCCTTTGCCCCCCCAAAATTGGAATTTGGAACACTGGGATCATCAAATTAACAGCGCAACCCAGTGTTCCACAACCCCATCATTTGGGGCAGAGGATGGCTAAAATAAATCCTTGTGCCTGAAGCGCACACTAAGAACAATATCTTTTAACAAAAATACCTTTAGACAATGATTCTTATATGACATAAACAAACATTGCAAACGCTTGGAAAATGATGCATGAATGAATGGACGGTATTAATCATTAACAATACCTGGGCTTCATGAACTGAAAAGGGTATTATTAATATCAATGGGAAGGAAGGAGGAAAAAAATTAATTCGCACACCAGAAACCTATGATTTTGGGTTCGAAACCCGGCTGGCCCCGATAATGTTTCTAGGTTTGTCAGCACCATACCCCTGCTTGTGGGTTTCACCGAAGTGGTAAACGTCTGAGACCTGCATCACTTCGGGCTTTCCTCCCACATTCAGCTGACATGCCATGATATAACTTGAATACTGTTCAAAGCAGCGTTAAACCCAACTCACTTACTTAATGGAAATTTAAAAATGGCGAGGAATACACATCTTTCGTACATCATTAAAAATATACTGTGGATCTACCATTTAGTCAAACCCCTTTGGATATTCCTTGGTTGAATATTCCTTGGTTGAATAGAGAGCTGTTTGTTTGTTTGTTGTTTAACGCCGCACTCAGCAATATTACAGCTATATGACGGTGGTCTGTAAAATAATCGAGTCTGGACCAGACAATCCAGTGATTGACATCATGAGCATCGATCCAGCATTTGGGATCGATGATATGCATCAACCAAGTCACCCGATCCTGTTAGTCACCTTTTACGACAAGTATGGGTTGCTGAAGACCTATTCTACCTGGGAATCTTCACGGGTTTAATAATAGAGAGCTGTAAGTGATCGAAATAGAAAAATATAGAAAATTCACTATTCAAATTGAGTCCCTCGAGTTACTGTTGTTTGTCAGTAAATAACCTGGTATGCACCAGACAATCCACTGGGTTCCACTGATCACGCGTACGAGCATCTATTTGCGCAGTTTGCACAACTCGATCCCGTCAGTCGTCTCGTACAACAAGCATGGGTTGCTGAAGACCAATTCTAACCCGGATCTTCCCGAGTACTCCGATGGCAAGGATCGTTGCTCACAATATCGATCACAGGACTGTCTGGTCCAGATTTGATTATTTACAAACTGCCGTCATATTGCTTAATTGACTATTGCTGAATTCGGCGATAAACAACCAAAAAATCTACAAATCTACAAAAACATCAACAGTGGGGATCTGCACACAATAGTGAGTGAGTGAGTAAGTTGGGTGTAACGTCGCTTTTAACAGTATTCCAGTTATATCATGGCGTGTCAGCTTAATGTGGTAGGAAGGCCCGAAGTGATGCAGGTCTCAGACCTTTACCACTTCGGTGAAACCCACGAGCACGGGTATGGTGCTGACAAACTTAGAAACATAATCGGGGTGAACCGGGATTCGAACCCACAACCATAGGTTTCTGGCGTGACCAAGGGACGCAACTCTGCACAGCGAATTTCGGCGTCTCAGACGACTCGGCCACTCGGCCATCCGTGCCCCCTCTCCTTGCTAATGTGTCTATAATATATACATGTACTTGGAATCGATAATAACAACTTCAGTATTAATTATGTCTTTGCGACTTTGTACATGTGTATCGTGGAGCGTAATCGGCACCCGGCACAAAAGATCAATGAAACGGTGACATAATATTATATGATCAACATGGTATTATTCTGTTTGTGGGGCGGTCGGGTAGCCTAGTGGTTAAAGCGTTCGCTTGTCATGCCGAGGACCCGGGTTCGATTCCCGACATGGGTACAATGTGTGAAGCCCATTTCTGGTGTCCCCCGCCGTGATATTGCTGAAATATTGATAAACTACGGTTATAACGAACTCAAAGGGACCACTAATTTTAGTTCGTTATAACCGTAGTTCGTTATAAGCAGATATACAGCATATATACAACAAAAGGCCGGGACCAAAAAATAAGTTCGTTATATCGGTCAGTTCGTTATAAGCGTGTTCGTTATAACCGTAGTTTACTGCATGTTGTGTTAGAACCATCATGCACAAGCGCTGTATGCCGACTTGACAGATATTGATTGACAGGCGTCGGAATGTAATATACACGATAATGGCATCTCTTTGTTGAGATTTGTGAAATCAATACCACCACGTGATCTTGTGTATTGATCAAATATGATTGAACAGTCAACCGTCACCTTTTCAATGTTTGCAAAAATATATGCGGGTCTTTAAATCAAGGCAATGAGAGCATACCATCCCTCATTTCAAACCTCTTACGATCCCTTATTATAGGTATGTGTTAATGTGACATTGAAAGAGCGAATGTTTGAATTTTTGGAACTGATTGCTAACGAATTCAATACAATTTGTACTGTCAACGGCGAATTGAACGAGGCCATTTCAGACAGTGAGTGAATATGGCTTTACGCCGCTTTTAGCAATATTCCAACAATATCACGACGGGGGACACCAGAAATGGGCTTCACACAATGTACCCATGTGGGGAATCGAACCCAGGTCTTCAGCGTGACGAGCGAAAGCTTTTAACCACTACGCTACCCGACCGCCCCATATGACAGATAAAACACTTAGAGGAAGCCATCGATATATACCCAAAGACTGGAATATTTATGATAACACGTGACCGGTATACACATAAAGAGCTTCTTCTGCACACGACACCAGTGTTATAGTTATGACTGGCGTTTGTGTGTTTGTGAAGAAATCCCTTGACCCTAATATTGCCAGATATTGTTAGCCTCGTTCTGGGATCAATCGGCTCTTGGAAACAGCGTTCATTGAATACTTTATTTATCAATTTCTTTGAAAGTCCATAACATATTGTCAAACACCTATTTAGGGAAACTGGTGGTCGGTTTTCTGTGAACCAAAGCAACAAAAAAACTCAGAACAGAGTTTTGTCCCTTCGCTGGGGCATTGTTATGACGATTGATTCGTCCCAAGGCGTTTATCTGAGATTTTCCCATGCTATGCCAAGTGACAAAAAACCCGTTGTTTTGTGCAAAGTTGGGACTCTCTTCCTTTCTTGAGACCGCCTCCGTGGTCTATGGTAGGGCGTCCGCCCGGAAAGCGGAAGGTCCGGGGAGCCCAGTCCTCCAAGGCGCCGCGATTCGCTGTGCAGAGTTGCGTCCCTTGGACATGCCAGAAACATATGATGGTGGGTTCGAATCCCGGTTCGCCCAAATTATGTTTCTAGGTTTGTCAGCACCATACCCGTGCTCGTGGGTTTCACCGAAGTGGTAAACGTCTGAGATCTGCATCATTTCGGGCTTTCCTCCCACATTAAGCTGCCACGTCGCGATATACCTGGAATAATGTTAAAAGCGGCGTTAAACCCAACTCACTCACTCACTATAACTTTAGTTATAGCTGTTATGGGTAATTACTGACATCTGCATATTTTGGGGCCGAACGATCTATGCTGGCGTACAATATGTTAACAAGCAATGGTATGCACCAATTTCTTCTTCCAGGAATGTTCCTGTGGGTCTACCATTGTTCCGGGAACGACGCCGGATCCAAATCCTCTCTTGTTCCCTGTACCAAAACGCGACAAAGGTGAGCATTTCCGCATTTGTTTGTTTTGTTTGTTTGTTTGTTTGTTGATTAACGCCGCACTCAGCAATATTCCAAGTATATGATGGCGGTCTGTAAATAATCGAGTCTGGACCAGACAATCCAGTGATTAATATCATGAGCATCGATCCACGCAATTTGGATCGATGACATGCATCAACCAAGTCAGCGAGCCTGACCACCTATACGTGGGGAGGTGTTGGGGGTGGCACGGCTGGCCCAGTCGTCTAAGGCGCCGCGATTCGCTGTGCAGAGTTGCATCCCTTGGGCACGCCAGAAACCTATGATTGTGGGTTCGAATTCCGGTTCGCCCCGATTATGTTTGTCAGCACCATGCCCGTGCTCGTGGTATTCACCGAAGTGGTAAACGTTTGAGACCTACATCACTTCGGGCTTTCCTCTCACATTAAGCTGACACGCCGCGATATAACTGGAATGCTGTTAAAAGCGGCGTTAAACCCAACTCACTCACTCACCATCTCAGTGGGCGTGGCACTATAAAACTGGCATTAGTCGACATAGTAGCTCCTCCCACGTCCCGACCCCGACACACATGGTCGTCGCTATATTAGTGCAATAGTCTTGAATGCGTTTGTAAACCACATTTTACCTCAAACGTGTATAATTTCTCCTAATTCTATTCTACTCTCTCTTTCAGCGTTTTTAACAATAGGAATCCCAGCGATCAAACGCGAGGGAGCGTCCTATTATGCGGAGACGATAAAGTCAATGACGTCAAACATGTCTCCAGAGGAACAGAAAGAAGTCCTGATTGTTGTGTTTTTGGCCGATACGGACCCTACAGTAAAAGCAGAGCTATCGGGGGACATCAGGCGTAACTTCAGTGATGCTATTGACGCAGGAATGCTTCACGTGATCCAGGCTCCAAGTGGCTATTATCCAAACTTGACTATAACGAAATTCACATACGGTCAGGAAAAACACTACATACAATGGCGAGCGAAACAAAATTTTGATTATGCTTTCATGTTTGAATACAGTTTAGATATTTCAAAGTATTATATGCAAATTGAAGACGACGTCATAACGGTTGACGGATACATCGGCGCCATTAAACAGTACATCGAAGAACAGCCGGATAAGACATGGACGTGTTTGGAATTTTCAGAACTTGGATTTATAGGGAAGTTGTACAAGAATTCGGACTTGCAGAAGCTAGCTGCCTTGTTGAAATTATTTTATGAGGAACAGCCTGTGGATTATACGTACTTGTATTTCAATATGCTGAACACGCAAATGGTACAACGCTTACGTAAACCGACGTTATTTCAACACAAAGGAATTCATTCGTCCTACCCTGGCAAAATCCAGCCCTTGAAAGACAGTTTTTTTGATCAGATGACTAAACAATACAAGGCAGATAACCCACCAGCGGAAGTTTTTACATCAATGGAAGCATATTTGACGTTCCTTCCGAGACTAGCTTATGAGAAAACGGAGGGTTGTTTTTTGACACATCGTTCACCAAGTGACGGTGACAGTTTCACCGTCGTTTTCCAGGAACCGCATCGGCTGCGAAGAGTTATCATAGATACTGGGTCAGTAGGTCACCCAGAGGACATACTGCTCAGCGGTCACTTAGAGGTCAGTTTGACCTTACTGAAAACCGAGGTCAATATACAATGTGTGAACGATATCATGATCGGTGAATTCAAAGATGGACGAATTGACGTTGATGCCCTTGAGGAAATTATCAAGTTCAAGGCCATGTGTTTAAAGGTCAGGATTACAAAGCACCAAGAGCCTTGGTTGATTGTACGAGAGATTGCAGTGTTTACTGCGTCGTGAAAGATGAGATTTGTCTGAATAATGTTTGTGTTGAAGCTGGTATATATTCACATGAGTGTTGTGTGTTTGTGGTGGGAAACTACGGAAGCCTTTTAGGGCCATTTGTTTTTTTTTATTTCTTTCGATACTATCTTGAAATTTCAAGAAACTAAGTTGAAATTTCAGGATACTACCTTGATACTATCTAGTATCTTGAAATTTCAAGATAGTATCTTGTATTCCAGGATAGTAACTTCTGTATCTTGAAATTTCAACTCCTTGAAATAGAAGTATAGTATCTTGAAATTTCAAGATACCATCAAAAATAATTTAAAAAAACAAAAGGCCCTAAAAGGCTTCCGTAGGAAACTGAACTTTGATACATTGATGAGTGAATGATGTGTATGTACAATCATATTAATGTGCAATAACACAGCACCACAACCAGGAGCAAGTATAATATCTCTATCGCCAAGCAGACCGCCTCCGTGGTCTAGTGGTAGAACGTCCGCCCGGAGAGCGGAAGTTCCGGGGTTCGATCCCCGACCGCGTCATACCAAAAGACGTTAAAAGATGGTACTTGTTCTTACCCTGTCTGGCGCTCGGCATTAAGGGGCTAAAACAAGGACTGGTCGGCTCGGAGTCAGTATACTGTGTCTGAGTGGGGTATTCATGTTAAACTGCGGCATGGTATCTCAGTGAGCTAGCACTATAAATCGGCATCAGTCCGGACCAGTACAAGCAGCCACACACATACATACACATGCATGCACGTCGCTATATAAGTGAAATAAACTTGGACGCGACGTTAAACCCCATTTCACCTCACCTATCGCCAAGCATACAGGGTATATCTTACAACACATACACGCCCCTTTAACTTCGTTGGAAGCATAGTTGGCCAAGTTATCTGAGGCGCTCTCGCTCTCGCGGCCGTGTGTAAGTTGGGTTTTACGCCGCGTTTGGCAATATTTCTAGTCTGTCGTACAGACCAAGAAACAAATATATCCAATACAGCCCATGCAAGTGTATAATATTTGGCAAGTCTAGATTACTGCAGGATTAGTCTGTCATACAGACCCTGAAACAAATATATCCAATACAGCCCACGCAAGTCTATAATATTTGCAAGTCTAGATTAATACAGTAGCAGTATATGAAAATGAAGAAAGTCTCCTGGACCGGCCGGACATAGCCTCACGGCTGTTCAACACTAAAAGCTTGGGGTTCTCTAACTCCAGTGTGCCATATTTTCTAAAATAATCGTCATACACACAAAACCAGTTTTGTCAGAAACATCTTAGTCACGTGTTAAATATTAATACATGTGGTTTTCACAAGGGATGCAATTTGTTTCCATATATTTGTTTATTTATACATCCTCCATCCAATCTGTGAATCGTTTGGTTTAGTATCTCACCATAGATGCATTCTTTGACTAATCGAGTAAGTGAGTGAGTTGGGTTTAACGCCGCTTTTAACAGTATTCCAGATATATCACGGCGTGTCAGCTTAATGTGGGAGGAAAGCCCGAAGTGATGCAGGGCTCAGACGTTTACCACTTCGGTGAAACCCACGAGCACGGGTATGGTGCTGACAAACCTAGAAACATAATCGGGGCGAACCGGGATTCGAACCCACAATCATAGGTTTCTGGCGTGCCAAAGGGACGCAACTCTGCAAAGCGAATCGCGGCGCCTTAGACGACAGGGCCACCCGTGACCCCGTGGACTAATCGAAGACGTCGTATTGGTGGCTGTTGGACAGTCATGTAGACTGTGAGAGAGTTAGGGGCTACGCGGTTTCCTCCCGAAATGCAGACGTCACAGTTGACGGGCAGAAAAGTTGTTTGTTTGTTTGTTGTTTAACGCCGCACTCAGCTATATTGTAGCTATATGACGGCGGTCTGTCAAAAATCGAGTGTGGACCGTACAATCCAGTGATTAATATCATGAGCATCGATCCACGCAATTGGGATCGATGACATGCATCAACCAAGTCAGCGAGCCTGACCACCCGATCCCGTTAGTCGCCTTTTACGTCAAGCATAGTCACCTTTTACGGCAAGCATGGGTTGCTGAAGACCTATTCTACCCCGGAATCTTCACGGGTCTTGTACCTACATGGGGAATCGAATCTTGGTATTTGGCGTGATGAGCAAACGCTTGTCCAAGCGGCTCCCCGACCGCCCCCTCCAGACAAGGTAATGTGGTTTTTTTTATGAAATCACGCATTTTCTTAAGTCAGTATGGCAAATTAAACCATTTGAACACTTACAGGAGTCTTTTATCTGTTGCAAACCGAAAAAAACATAACTTTGCATCAAATCTCATTCAATGTCACAGGAACTTTTGTTGTTCAGTATATTTAAAAGAGGTTTCATTAGGAAAAGAATACCTCTTTTTTTTTTTAACCAATCAGAATCCAGCTGTTTTCAGTGATTATGGTAGAATATTGCTTTATGACAACAACACAAATATCACACCCGAAATCGATTTGAATTAATTTTGTACTACATGTTCACCATATTAGTCAAGGACCAACCTGTAGGTCCCGTGACCAAATCATGGAAACAAAGGTTTGAAAGTGTTTTTGAGTTTCCTGATGTATATTGAACAATTTTGACTTGGGCTGCCCGGTTGAAAATCCCGGGCATTTTGGGGAAGGGTCAACAAAGGTCAAACAGGGGTCAAAATTCAAAATTGTGTTGAACTTGTCATGTCAAATCATGACTATCAGACAATGTTAACTGTGTTTGTGAATTTCACCGACTGCCAAAGGAGGCGATTTCAAAGTCAGGCGTAAGTTACGATGTTGTTGGCGAAAAGGAGACTTGGGACTATAACCTATGGAATACATTGTCGCATTGTCGCGCTGTGGTTAATTTTGACACTTTTAAGTGCAAGGATTTATAAACATCTACCAATGATGCATCGCACTTTCAGCATTCACGGTGAACGCAGATGACACCAGCACGCCAAGTCCTAACGGCGTCCCAAAGCCAACTGCTCCAAGCAGATCGAAACGAGACGTGTCTGCCTACATCGTAGACTTGCTCGCTGTCATTGACTACAGCATCTATATAGAGTGAGCATACTTGCAGAGTAATATAGTAGAAAAAGTGATGAGTGTGACGTTAACCTTTATTTGTTGTTTAACGCCACACTCAGTAATATTCCAGGAATATTACGGCGGTCTGTAAATAACCGAGTCTGGACCAGACAATCCAGTAATTGACATCATGAGCATCGATCCACGCAATTGGGATACGATGACATGCATCAACCAAGTCAGCGAGCCTGACCACCTGATCCCGTTAGTCGCATCTTACATGACATAAACATTTAACGTGATCCCTCATGCAGATGGTTTAATAAAACTACCACTATTCGAGCATCTTAGGGGTAAGTTCTGATATCCCCCACCGAGACAAAAATGAAATTTGACCAAGACGACATGTGATATCTTGACCATCCTGTCAAATTGTCCGATTGACTATTTTCTCATGATAATTCGCGCGACTTGGCACTGCATTCAGCGCAGAAGACCAGTTACACATAGGCGATGTAAATAAACTATGTTGGGAATAATATCCAAAACGTCATTGAGTGTTAGGTAAAAAAAATGATTTAGTAGGGGAGGTCGGGGTGCATTGGGACAAAATTTGTATTATCCAGTCTATATCATGCAGAATACATTAAAAAATCCTGATTGATATTAATGTTGTCGAAACCAATATGAATGGCTTGATACACATGATGTTTCTTAAGTTCACTTAAGGTTCTTGAAGTAATACATATAAACTTGTTTACCTTCACTTTAAACAATACATACCGATAGTTTGATGCAAATGAATTGTTGACAAGTTCAAACATTGGTGGGGCCGTCGGGTAGCCTAGTGGTTAAAGCGTTCGCTCGTCACGCCGAAGACCCGGGTTCGATTCCCGACATGGGTACAATGTGTGAAGCCCATTTCTGGTGTCCCCCGCCGTGATATTGCTGGAATATTGCTAAAAGCGGCGTAAAACCATACTCATTCACTCACTCACTCAAACATTGGTTATCACTTGCATGAATCACGCGGAGCAACAACTGGATGCGGTTTCATGTCATCACCTCCCCGAAGCCTGGTGTCCTGGAAAGTCTGAAAGAAACCATAAGCTTAATTTATGAAATAATCTCTACAAATATTATTGTTATTTTATAACAAGTGAAATGTTTGAATTCAACGAAAATAACTAGAGTATAACACAATTTCCTGATCTTCTAATATATAATTTAATAAAGCCTACTAATGAAAGAAGGAAAAACACAACAGGAAATCTCAATCCTCAGTGAAATTGCTATGAAATGCAATGTTACCAATTTGTGACATCATAAACAATAGTATGATATAGCTTAACTGACATTAAAAAATATATTTCATAAATATATCATTATAAGTAATTATAAATTATAAGTGTTAAATAGCATACCTGTGTGTGAGCCCTCATTCCAGTAAGAGTGAGTGAGTGAGTGAGTATGGTTTTACGCCGCTTTTAGCAATATTCCAGCAATATCACGGCGGGGGACACCAGAAATGGGCTTCACACATTGTGCCCATGTCGGGAATCGAACCCGGGTCTTCGGCGTGACGAGCGAACGCTTTAACCACTAGGCTACCCGACCGCCCCACATTCCAGTAAGAGGAAATCGTTGGTTTCTTCACCAGTCACAAGCAGAACCAGGCCCAGAAATGCCCGCATTCTCGGAGTTTTGACTGTGGAGGAAGGGTGTGGTCCCGCAAGCAGCTGTAGGCATACTAGTTTGTTTCATTGGCCAGTAGGGTGTACAAATCTTCCCCCTCAGGACCTGGAACAGACAACTGCCGATCAAAGTAGTCAATCGGCTTTGCCTGGCCATTGTTCTTAGTTTCTGAAATGAAATGCAAATAATTACTGACAACCTTCAACCATTTTATTATTTCGCTCATAATACTTGAAAACAAACATGAAAGTCAATACGTCATTGCAAAAACCTTAATGCCGACATACAAAACATATGCACCTAAGGGAGGGACCATTTGTTATTCCGGGGGATGGCTTGTAATGGTATGTTGGTTTTCTTGGGAGAGTCACAAGAGACTAATTA